CAGAACTGAGATGTAACAAAGGATGAAAGAAAGTGAAAACTAGTATTTTACTGTTTTTTTAATGATACATGTTTCTTTTAGCAAACTAATGGCGATCAGTGAGGGTCGGTTTCTATCTACTTTAATAATGATCATTTGTTTATTAATAGTCTTAATAAAGACCATATGCTTTATGCACCCGGGCTGCTGAACTAGAAAAGAAAGAGCACGGTTATTTTTCACTGTGAAAGGTGACAGTTATTTGTCAATGCCCAGGTCCTATCTGCAGCTCTGATAGTGTCGTATAGTGCGCTTGACCTTTATGTGCTGTACAGGCGTGTCAGGAGCAGTTAAAGGAGAATTATGAGGCGAGTGACTTTCACTCAGCCTCATAATCTGAGCCGACGCGTGACAATGAAACTGTCACAGGTCGGCTCAGTAGATCGGGAAGTGAACGAACACATACCGGCGCTCTCTCACTTCTCGATCTATCCCTGCAGAGAGCCGTGACTGTCACTCACGGCTCCCCACAGGGATTCCCCACCCCTCTCCTGTCCGGCACGGGAGGAGACTGGACGTACGTTGATCCCAGATTGGACGCTATACTCAACTTCAATAAAAGAAAACAAATATAATTCACCTTTTTTGTGTGATATGTTTCTTCTCTGAAGACATGTTTGTAAGATGGGATAGCTCTGATAACACAACAACAGATCACAGCAACCCACGGAAAAAACAGAAAGTCGATAACAGGAAGATGGTGACTATCAACGTCACAAAAGCCTGCTTTCCATTGGCTTGCACAAAATTGCTTGAGCTTGAAACCACATGAAAAAACATGCATAAAAAAAGATTTAAAAAATGCTTGAAGAAGCTTAAATGTAAATGGAGCCAATCATGGTGGGTTGATTGGTTCCAGCAAATAGAGAACCAATGACTAGGTTATGGATATTGATCTGACCCAGGCAATCCTTGGAACTGGCTCAGAGGTATCACTGGGGAGATGAATAATGTTTGGGAGCACCTTTCCAGAACTCGGGTAGCCACAGGACAGCTTCACTAAAGAACACCCCAAGATTATCAGAAGCTCATCCTTCCTGCTTCCGCCTGTTGCTTGGAGGATGCTCCGGTAAGCAATGTAGGAGAATCGACCCTTAGGTTGTTAATATTTATCTGACTCAGACTCGGAGGTATGGCTTTGAGATGATTAATGTTTGGGAGTGCCTTTGAAGAAATTCCTCTTCCCTGGGGCTTCTCGCTAGTAGGAGGTGTGCTCTCTGGGACTGGACTAAGCATAATATACCAAGCCTCTTGCTGAAGTGCTGGGCTGAGATACTATTGCCGATAAAGGTTTGCAGAGGAACTGGGTAAAAGCTGCTGTATGGACCTTGGAAGAGGGATCATTGCTCAGGGACTTACAGGGTATTTTAGGCCTACTTAGAGAGGGCCAGAAGTAAAATTCAAGGGCCAGGAAACACTATGACACTATGTGACACTATGTGACACTATGGTGTCACATGGGCAGGGTCACAGATTCATCTGGCTGTCCTCTGCCCATCAGCAGCTACTTTTGGATGTTGCTTTCCTAAGACCTACTACTCATAGAGTGTTTCTGTCCTCCATATTTGTGCAATGGTATCCTGCACTACTAAATAGACTTGTGCGCCATCAAAAAATTTGTTCCGTTTCGTTTCGTTCTGTTTCGTAATATCCATTATTTCGTATTTCGTAATTCGTATCCGAAACCAGAAACTCAATTCGGATTCGTACGAAATACGTATATTTGTTAGTTTCGGCACATTTTCGTAACTTTACGAACATTCGTTATGATGAAGTTAAAAAGCAAAAATACCTTTGTTAATATTGGAGTCGATGTGGTAGTTGTTTTCTTATCCGAAATACGAATTCCGTTAACGGATTCCGTATCCGAATTCCGTATTTCGGACTTTAAAAAAAACTACCATCAACTCCAATATAAATGTACTTTGCTTTTTACCTTCAATATAGCGAATGTTCGTAACGGAACAAAAATACGTCAACGGAATTTCGTATTTCCTGCCTGTCTATTGTAATGCAACTCTCAGCAGCAGCGGATCCGTATTTCGGATAAAAAAAAAAATCTTGTCATGTTGTTCAACCTCATTTACAGGGGTAATATTAGTTCCCGTTTCAAAGAAATTCAGATCCGAAATTCGTTAATGGAATTTCGTATTTCAGATATAATTCGGAAACTGCCATTCGGATTTCGGATGCTCCGAAATTCGGAATTTCAGGAAAATTCGTACGAATTTCGATTCGTAACGAAACGAATCGCACATGTCTACTACTAAACTACATTGAGTTCAGCAATAAATAGTAAAATGACCCCATAGACTTGAGCCTGTTTATTGCTAGAAGATGGTAAGCTGTTGGGTCCAGAAGACGGGTAGGTAGCCACGGGACAGGTATGGAAACCTAAAGTTACCAGTGGCTCCTCCAGATATCATCACTACAATGTCATTGTTTTTTAAATAGTTCTATAGCTTTTTTAATTTTCTATTCCCGTCTGTGTCCCCATCAAGGAGAATTCCTACACTTTGTGTCCCGGAGACATAACAGGAAGTTAATGGAAATCTTCCCAAACTGAGGAGAAATACCCCTGAGAGTGGTCACTGTAACAGGTGTCCCCATTGGAAGATTTTTTTATTTTTCTGTTTTGTAGTGTCAAAAGTCTTTCTATCCTAGAGAGACAATGCTGCTCCTCCATAAATACAGTACAGTGGGTGAGCGTTGTCACCCTAGGACAGGAAGTGGGTAATTTGCAGAAGATAAAGGGGAAAAAAAGCCTGAAACTAATGCAGCCACCACATCTAAGGACTGGTAATATATTATTTGTTTCTTCCTGGGCTTCAATATACTTTAACAATATTTACTTGTTCTCTTCTCAGCTGTTGTAAAGTTTATTGACTGCCGTGGCTTACAGCACATAATGTAGCGGACTCTGCACCGGACTATTCATTTCTGCTACACACACACAATCTATAATTACAATTTCAATACAAAAAGGACTCTTATCATCCTTTCAATGTAAGGTTAAAAGTTCACCCCCCGCACAGCGGAAGAAAGGCGTTTTTTAAAATCTATGATGGATTCTTTACAACCGAAGAAGAAAAGATCTATTTACTATCGTGAAGAATTTTCGGAACAGGCCTTTCCTACGACATACCGTACTCCTCCCTCCCAGTTATGATATAACAAGCAACGCATACATCTCTTAAACAGATGACTTGAAGCTGAAAGTTATACTGGTTCTAGTTTGCCTTCCATGGTTCCCTTCTCCATCCTTATCAACATGATAATGACATTTATACATAAAATGTTTCTGTTCATTATATACCTTATTTAAGACGCAGTGATGTCATCACTTGGTCTCTGTGCAGGTAGATCATGACTCTTAGGAGGGTGCTGTACATAGCTTCCTGAAAACATCACAGCACCCAGCCTCAGTACTCCTCGCAAGAGCCCTCAGTCCTGATCAGGGGCATAACTAGAAATCACAGGGCCCCCATAGCAACATTTAGTATGGGGCCCTGTGATTTCTAGTTATGCCCCTTGCAGAGCCCACCTGATATACCAAACAGCCCACCTGAGAGTGACCCTGCAGAGCCTGCCATAGACTCTCTATGGCGGGCTCTGCAGGGTCTCAGGTGGGCTGCACACCTCTTACCTGTCAGCACGGTCCGCCTCCGTGGTCGCTGGGCCCCCCTCTCCTCTTCCGTCCCCAGACCCCCGCCTCCTCTTTCAATCCCCTGTGCCCTGGGTCGCTATGGCGATTGTTACGCCACTGGTCCTGATGCATCAGTGGGATGGCTCTTGGGAGGAGTTATGCAATTATCAAAATGCCTTGATGGGTGGAGGAGAGGGGGTTTTCCTATGCAGGCTGTAGGTAATGGTCACATGCAATGCATTGCTGATCCTCTATGATTGAAAGAGCCCAATTAATAAAATGGGTGGGCCAGGGACAGTCAAACCTGAAGAATGGGGGAACCACAATTCCCTGAAATGGGTTGATGATGTTTTATGCCATAAACTAATAAAGTGATCATTGTTCTTCAGCCAGCTGGAGTTTCCCAGATTTCCCATTGATTCACAGAGCTTTTTATACAGTAATGCCACCAAAAACATAATTTTCAGGTGCCTAAACTCTACCAAACTCTTGCTTGTTTTATGTTGGCATCTTCCAATGTATATGATCAATATGATCCTAATTAGCATGGGTCTGATTAAAAATACACTGTATTGCCAAATGTTTGTGGACACCTGACCATCACATTTAAATTAACTTGGGCATTCCATTCCAAAATCACAGGCATGGATATGGAGTTGGCTTGTGAAGGCCACATGGGTTCCTCTACACCAAACAGGTCAAACCATGTCTTTATGGAGCTGGCTTTGTGCATGGGGGACAGTCATACTGGAACGAAAAAGGGCCAAGGTTGAAAGAGCACAATTGTCTATAATGTCTTTGTATGCTGTAGCATTAAAAGAGAACTATGACTAAACCCTTTTTTGGACGTAGTTCTCTTTAGGGTCACAGGAGGACATTTACTAATGTCCTCCTGTGACCCAAAACTCAGCACATAGTGAGCTATTACCCGCTATATGCTAAAGGCGCAAAGCCACGCTGCAGCTAGGAAGGATCCCAACAATATTGACAGCTTGGCTCTGCCTCTCTGGAGCCAGAGCCAGCTGTGCCCGCCCCTTCCCCTGTCTGTCCCTCCAATGAGCACTAGAGGAACAGAGAGCAGGGAGGGGGGATCCCTGCTGGGAGCGGTGATAGACAGTCACTGCTTCCTGCAGGGAGAAGATCATCAGTTCTCCATCAATTGAGCCAAGGTGTGACAGCTTCAGTGTCACATGTCGTATATAGTATATATAAAATGTAATGTTTAACCCTAATATTTCTTTTAGCTGTAACAAAGCTGTAATATTCATTACAAAATAGAAAATAAAATAAAATTTGTTATACTGTTGACACCTACCTGCCCCTCGGTAACCACCACAAAGGTACAGCTTTCCTTCCACCACACCTGCACTGCTCGAGTTGCTTCTAAGGGAGAGCAGAGGATGGGGCATCGGGGGACCATCTCTCCAGAAATCTGCATCTACATTGTAAATTTCCACAGCGTCAAGACACTTGCGGGTCTGTCCTTTGTCTGGACCAGTACAACCAATGCCACCTAAAGAACAAGAACTGGGTGAAATAAATGGTAGTGTCAGTCATGCTCAGCCTCATCTTGGGTGGTATCATTCAAAGGGTGTGTGGACGGTTGGTCTATTTCATGCTCCATGCAGGGAAGACACCGTACAACTTGGAGACTTGCACCATGTCTGAAACTTGCAAAATATATTCGAACCATAGGTATGTTGCAGGTACCCAACTGTGATCTCTGGGTATAGCTAAATCAAGTATCATTTATATGAAGCTGTGTATGGTAAGTTGTGAAGCTTTAGAATACAGCTGTACTAATGCTTTTTTTTATTAATTAAACACTGAGTTGCCAACTTCTGCTTGTAAGAGGTTCTTACAAGATTTGGCCATGACTCCTCCACCGTAGTGGGTCCTGACTCTCCCACCATAGCGGTTCCTGACTCTGCCACCATAGCGGTTCCTGACTCCTCCACTGTAGTGGGTCCTGACTCTCCCAACATAGCGGTCCTGACTCTCCCAACATAGCGGGTCCTGAATCTCCGAACATAGCGGGTCCTGAATCTCCCAACATAGCGGGTCCTGACTCTCCCAACATAGCGGGTCCTGACTCTCCCAACATAGCGGGTCCTGACTCTCCCAACATAGCGGCTCCAGACTCTCCCAACATAGCGGGTCCTGACTCTCCCACCATAGTGGATTCTGACTCTTCCACCATAGTGGTTCCTGACTCTCCCACAGTAATGCTCCTGACTCTCCCACCATAGAGGTTCCTGACTCTCCCACAATAGTGGTTCCTGTTTCTCCCACCATAGAGGTTCCTGACTCTCCCACCATAGAGGTTCCTGACTCTTCCCCCATAGAGGTTCTTGACTCTCCCACAAAAGTGGTTCCTGACTCTCCCACTGTAGTGGGTCCTTGTTCTCCCACTATAGTGGGACCTGACTCTTCAACCTTAGTGGTTCCCGACTCTCCCGCTGTAGTGGGTCTTGACTCTTCGACCATAGAGGTTCCTGACTCTTTGAAATGTCCTTAATATAAGACCTAAGCAGGATTCCAAAGTTGCTATAGACATCAAAGGCTGGTTGGACATGTAGGCCCAATCTGACTGCTGAAAAATCTTTTTGTCTGTAAGCACTAGCACTCAGAACACCCAGGGGATGCAGGAAGATGTATCTGATGTTAAGGAACACACTACATGTTAAAAGTGTTTCTTGAGCTCCCTGAGTGCAGTTCTGCTTTCAATTACGCCTTAATGCCATCATAGATGTTCCATACCAAAAGTTCACCCCGCCAAGCATCTGTGTGTCCCTTTCCAGTGTTCTTTCCCAGGCCCAAATTTCTATTTGCAGCTTGTGCTAAAACACTGCCATTGTTCCCTCGAAGAGAGAGACAATTCACAGCAACTTGGAAGGCCCCCAGAAGCAGAGGCTGCATCTCAGGGCAGGCATCTTAATGGAATGTTCACAATAAAGAAATCCATAGACCCCAAGTTCTTAGTGGAGGCTCCAATTACTCTGCTGGTAGGAACAAAACTCTCTGAGATTTCTAAAGACCTCTTAGACTCAGAATTCCACAAAACGGAGAGGTAAAATGCAGATTCTGATGTCATTGTTGTTGAATCAACATAATTCCCCCTTTGTCTTCAATTTCCTAATCCGCAGAAGGCCAGAATTTATTAAGAAATCCCCTGAGATAAAGCAGAACGGATGAAAGAATCTGTGTTTGCACCCTGTATAATTCCTTCCTCCTAAGCTGGAAAAGCACTTGCCGAGAAAAGCTTGTTTTTTTATATCTCTTTCGTCTTTCATCAAACTTCTTTACTCAAATAGACCCAATTAAAACGCCATTGTCTTAATTATGCAAAAATCAACTTTGTGTTCTTGTGTTGGGTGTTTTGATAGAAATCTTCTGGGGAAACGGAACTGATCTTATTTTAGCACAGCTTTTCTCGAAGAGGCACCGGACGTTTTATATAAATAACTAGCGCAAGGGGATACATTGATTGTTTAACAGATTGTGGTTGAAGCAGAGACCTTTGATGCGCGATACAACGTCTTCTTGACCTAACGACTCTGGAAGTATCTCATTTAGTGACCAATAATACCAATAATAATTTGTACAGGAACGGGGTCTTTATTCTCCTGCAGGATGCATGGACTTCAGTGGCTGGCCATAAACTTACAGGAGATGTACTGTAAACCCTCACTGAATGACTCTTGAGGTTGGTGAAGTTGTTAGAATAAATAATGATACATCATTTATAAATATATTATTATTATTATACAGGATTTATATAGCGCCAACAGTTTGCGCAGTTCTATATATCCTTTTTTTATACAATATAATTGTATTCACATAATTTTTCCATCCTCTGTTGCATCTCGGTGTTGCTAATCTTCTGTAGCCTTGTTATAACCATTTCTTGTCTACATGCACTCCAACGATGGCTGCATGGCATTTCTCAAAGCAGGTTTCATAATGGTGACAACAGTGGACCATGCTGGCATTACATGCATGGCAACTGCTTTTAGTCTTCATTGAGAGAGTATGTGACAGAATGACAACGCTGGAGAACAGTTGGAAGACAGGGACAGAGAGTTGTCACCTAAAACCTAAACAAGGACCTTCATGGCAACATCACCATGTAATATTTTAATGAAAATGACTTTTGAAAAGATGTTAAAACCCAAATTCAGTTTAGGCAAAAATGAAATTAATGGATTCCCCACATCCTATTAAAGCTCCTCCTCCTCCTCTCTGCTGCTTTCCCCAGACTCTCCAATCCAGAGAACCAGCACCGCTCCTGTTCCAAGTTCAGTGCTGTCCAACATAGGTTGAATAACACTTTGTTCATGATAAATGGCCTTTTTCACTTATGAATGATTTGATTTGTTCAGCACTTTGCTTTATGTCAGTTAATTGGTGGTTATAAATATTATCCATTGTTTGATTCACTTTAATTAGCACTGTTTATTTATTTAATATTTGCCATTGACTTCCTGGACTGAGATGCCAGCTCAGAGATGACACAATCAAGTATATCTTAGTGTCTGTGAAGTTCTTGGCTGTCGTCACAAAATGTCTGACACAGATCTGCCTCCGCTGCAGCCTCTCACTTGCTACAATGTTGCAATGTTCCAGTCTGATCACTGGGCGAAAACCAACTGAGGAAATGAATCCTCCTGCCTGCAGCAGACTGATCACATCATCTTAGCCTTGGCAAAGTCTCTGGACTGGAGCTCAAGGATGTTTTTTTAATAATAAAAGTGACATTTTAATGATAACGGTGATATTTATATTGGAATTGACTTCTTAACACTTCTAGTACAAATACAGGAGAATGTACTTTTATGGTATTTTAGAGTCTTGAGTTTTATAATACTTAGAAAATGTGAAGAAATTTGAAAATGTGTTTAATACCTCGACTCAGCTCAACTCAACCCTTCTACTTAGCATATCATAACTGAGCAGGTCTGAACCAGGAAAACGCAGATCCAATGATGCATTACAAGCTAAGAGGTGCTTTGCTATGTGTGCAGTGTGTTGTCAGTCCAAATTATATAGTGGGTGTGGTAGACAGAAGAAGTAGAAGTAGTTTCCTTGGTATGAAACTGATGGCACTATCTCCATAAATACACTGTGGCCAAACGTTTGTTGATGCCTCTCCAAAGGATTAGGTTCATGTGTACAGTGAAGGGTGCAACATACAAAGACATTTTAGACAATTGTGCCCTTCCAGCCTTGTGGCAACACAGTTTGGAGAAAGCTCTTTTTTGTTCCAGCATGACTGTTGCCCTGTGCAGAAAGGTAACCCCATACGGACATGGATTGATGGGTGTGGTGTGGAGGAACTTGAGTGGGCCTTCACAAAGCCCTGACCTCAACTCTACTCAACACCTTTGGGATGAATTGGAATGTCAATTCTGAGTCAGATCTTCTCATTCAGAGTCAGTACCTGACCTCACAAATGTTCTTTTGACTGAATGGGCATGAATTGCCGTAGATACCTGTTCTAATGTACAGCATTTTTCATATACTAAATCTACCAAACATCTACTGTGCCTTCATATATTGAACCTAACTAAGATTACTTGGGTCATTAAAGAAGCCAGCTGTGTTTTAGAAGTGCTGGAGGCCATGGTATGTTCATCCTCTCTGGGGATGTTGGAATGTACAACAATACCCTGCAAAATCTTGTGGAAAGCCTTCCGAGAAGAGTGGATGCTGGTATAGATGCAAAGTGAGGGCCACCTTCATATTACTGCCCATGTGTTTGTAATGGGATGTCCAACAAGCTCATATAGCTGTGATGGTCAGGTCAGGTGTCCACCAACATTTGGCCATATAATGAATTATTGGACTTCTGAGACACTGTGCACTCTACAACTGAGTTAGTCCTCTTTATATATGGCTGATGTTTACTAGGTTTTTTCGATGATGAGTGTCAGGTGCATTTTGGTTCTCCGCTTTTTTGCTGGACGTCCTTGGAAATGTCATTATGGTGATTTCAGGTTGTGCGGAAATGTCACGGTGTGGCCGGCTTTTCGCGGTAATGTAAACTCATATTTCATCATTAAGAGGGATGTCAACTGCGAGGCCTGACGACTGATCCCTCCCCCCTCTGGCAGGCTAGTCAAACAAATCTCTTGTATTTATCTCTCGTTCCGGCAGAAACTGTTAAATTCAGCTCCATTAGGGCTTCTCTTGGCACGCCGTCCTTGACGGTGCTCTTGACTCTCTCCGGCTCAGCCATGCGTGACACACAGACTGCGCGCCTCGCTTGGTGTTAATGGCAATAGAGATGTAAAGATGACTTGACGGCTATTTATATACAGTCTGATCCATATCTACACGCTTGGTGCAGAGCGCATAATTAGAGGAGCGGCTGCTGGGGGCCGGACACAAATTGGGTTTTTGTAAATAATTTAAAGGATAACTGCCATGTAATCACGGAGTAAATAATAATAAGATGTAGGAATAGCGAATTATCTGCGTCCGGACTATTTGGTGGACAGGCCGCCGTTCGTTTTGGTGTATGGCAAAAGCCTGCATCGTCGGGGGGTTCTTCGTATGTTCTATACTGTGTAGGCTGATTCAGGTGGTGTGATTGGAACCCAAAGCAGATCCACCAAAACTCTGCAATGTTAAAGCTTAAAGTGACATTAAACCCTCAGATTTTTTAACATGAACCAATACTGTAATGTGCGCCTTACTGTAATCCATGGTTGTTTCCATTCTCTTTGCTGCTCTTCCTTTTAAATCCTCATGTCTTCTCATGCTTGGGAAGAACTTCCCTTTTCAGCTGAGTGCCTCTTCCTGTAGTGCTGGCTCAGGTTTCAAGCCTATACAAACGTACACACAGACACCGTATATCCATTCCTGAGACAAGGCAGTCTGCTGCAAAACAGAAGTTCTGCCCAGCATGAGAACAGATACAAATTTAAAAGGAAGAGCAGCAAAGAGAAGGGAAACTACCATGGATTACAGTAAGGCGCACATTACAGTATTGTTTTATGTTAAAAAATCTGAGGGTTTAATGTCACTTTAACTCCAGCAGATAAAAAAGGCACAACCAAGAGGCTGGGGACGGGGAGGTGACACCACTGTATTTCTTCCTTCTAACTGGGCTGAGATGCAGGCTTTTATTACTGTCAGGTGCATGCATACTATGTATTGTGTTGGGTATTTATTACCTAATGTAGAAGAATCCTACCGCACTCCTCACTGGTATGTCCCTTGCGGCGGGTGCTGTGGGTGACTGCGGATGGCGCCGCTTCAGATTCAAGTAGTAAAGTATATCACCAGCACACCATGGTCAAATCTTCAGAAAGTGATCATTTTATTGATGCGCGCACATCTTGTCACATAGAAATGTTTTGGGGCCACTCATGATCCCTTCATCAGACATGGCGCATGATATTTATTACCTCTCACAGAGATCACAGTACTCCCCCTGACTCAAACAAAGATGACGGAGCCATCTTTGTTCAGGCATCATCCAAGGTCACCATATACTCCCTGGACTGAGATGCTGGCACAGAGGTGACACAATCATGTATATCCTGGTGTCTGAGCACAAATGGCTGACACAGATTAGCCCCTGCTACAGACTCTCATCTTGTTACTTCCTACGAAGTTACAGTGTTTCAGTCTGATCACTGGGGGAGGGGAGACTGAGGAAATGCTTCCTCCTGCCAGCAGCGGATTGATCACAGGAGGAGGAGAGACTAAGAAAATGCTTTCTCCTTCCTGCAACAGTCTGATCACTGTGGGAGGGGAGACTGAGAAAATGTTTCCTCCTGCCTGCAGCAGACTGATCACAGAAGGAGGGGACACTAAGAAAATGCTTTCTCCTTCCTGCAACAGTCTGATCACCGGCGGAAGGGGAGACTGAGGAAATGCTTCCTCCTGCCTGGAGCAGTCTGATCACTGGGGGAGGGGAGACTGAGAAAATGCTTCCTCCTGCCTGCAGCAGATTGATCACTGGGGGAGGGGAGACTGAGGAAATGCTTCCTCCTGCCTGCAGCAGACTGATCACTGGGGGAGGGGAGACTGAGGAAATGCTTCCTCCTGCTGGCAGCAGACTGATCACTGGGGGAGTGGAGACTCAGGAAATGCTTCCTCCTGCCTGCAGCAGACGGATCAATGGGGGAGGGGAGACTGAGGAAATGCTTCCTCTTGCCTTTAGCAGACTGATCACCGGGGAGGGGAGACTAAAGAAAATGCTTCCACCTGCCAGATTAATGATGTCATCTCAATCTAGGGAAGTCACTGGACTGGAGCCAGGGGTGTAACTAGAAATCACAGGGCCCCATGGCAAAATTTTGTATGGGGCCCTGTGATTTCTAGTTATGCCCCTTGAAGAGCCCACATAGTAGAGCTATTGCAATCAGCAGCCAGCGCCCACAGCTGTCAGAATACCCGAACAGATCATGTATCTAATTGGTTGCAGTCACCTTTGTCCGGCTCCTTTGACAAAAGCCAATTGGGAAATTTTGTTGAGGCGGGTGGTGCTAATAGGGCCACCCACAGCTCGCATTCCAGTCAATTCAACAAGAATCGCCCGAAATTGGAGCATTGTACTGCCAGCTTTACATAACTCTCTTTCTTCTACACTCACCTAATACGAAAATCTCCCCATTCACGACAGCCGCACTGAAGCGATATTTCGAATACTTCATGGAGGCCAACTGAGTCCACTTATCACCGGTGGGGTCATACTGCAAAAGCCGATTGCTCAAACGATCGGGCTCATCGTACGCGTTGTCAGTCTATATGATTGGAAACAGAAATTTATAAACAGGAGATTACTACACCGGGTATGAAGATTTAATATTAAGGCACAACAACACAGCAAAACGATTAAGGAAGGGATCAATACCCATCCGGGTCCATTCCATCGCTCGCTCGCATTTCAACCTGCTGAGTGGCCTTGTTGGCACCATTCCCTCCAACTAAAGCGAGACGAAAATTCCCCCTCCCCCAAAAAAGTACTACGATAATCTTTATCAAATTGAAATGTTTTATTGAAGGTCTAGGGGGAGGCCACACATTTCGGCATCCCCTTCATCAAGGCTTGTAATAAACATATTTGGCAGTGGCGTCACAAGGGGGGTGCAGCCCGCACACGGGTGACACCATTAGTGGTGAGACAAGTTGTTTTACATGCTGGTTTGTGAGTGTGCCATGATGCCTTTCTACTGTTTTAACATTTGAGGGGGGACACCAAAATTACACAGCCATTTTGTTGTCACCCCCTCTAAAAAGTCGGGCACTCGGTCACGGATCGAGGGCTGACAGTGTCAGGAGAGGGGAGGGGACCCCATCCCACCGGGTGAACGTCCCCTCCTCTCTCTGCCGGCGTCCATCACCAAGATAACCGACGGCAGGTGTCATTTAGATGTCAACCCGTGCGCGATGACGTCACTGCGGGGTGTCACCCAGTCTCCGCTCAACATGCAAATGCTGACTTTCTGCTCAGAAGTCAGTGCTTTCACCACGCCCCCTAACAGATCCCATTCCGAGCCGGTGCTATGCGGCTTTTAGATGCACCCCATTGAAACAGCTGCCGGTGTTCTATCGAAAGTTCCAACTCATCGAGATCTCCAACGACTTCACTTCCGGTTTAGTTAGAAGTAAGAGTTTTGGCCGAGAAGGCTGTACTGCACGTGCGCCACCCACGGAATTTCCCTACACACAGCAATAAAGTATTATAATGAACTAGGGTCAGACTAATCCAGCACGTTATTAATCTGAGTGACCCCACTCAATAGGGCGGCAAGAGGCGGCCATATTGAGTGTGGCAACTCAGATTAACTGCCTCCGGGCCGGCCATAGTAAAAAAACGGCCGGCCAGGAGCTCTCTAGATCTGAGCGGGCGTCTCTAGACGTCCGCTCAGACATGCTAATTAATGTGATCCTAGTTCATTATAATACTTTATTGCTGTGTAGTATGTGTGTAGGAAATTGCCGCGGGTGGCGCACGTGCAGTACAGCTTTTTCCACCAAACCTCTTACTTCTAACTAAACCGGAAGTCAGGCAGTTGGAGATCTCGAGGAGTTGGAGCTTTCGACAGAACACGGGCACCCAGGACGGGTAGCTGGGACAATACTGTCAAATAGACAGAAGAAGTTACTGACGAGCGCAATTATGGAAGAGATAAAGATTGGCAGCGCCGCTATCTTACATTTCAGTGAACGCCGCCCGTCCTGACTGTGCACATTGTGAAAAGCGTCGGGCCGGCTGAGTGGGGACGAGGCTGGGAGAACAATTGATGCTGCAGTCATTGGCACCTAGGCTGCAAATCCTCGTCTGATATATTGCTTTGTCAGCCGGCATTGAAGAGGAGAGGCGATTGACTGTTTCGCCTCCGGGCCACGCATGACATGGAATTTAAGCCGCTAGCACTTATAGATACCGAAACCTAAACGGGATCTCCGATCCCTTTCATTTTAATTTTCAACCTTTTATTTTAAAACCAGACTCCAGGGAAACGGCTAAACACGGAGTTGGAATAATATATGCGAATTCTGTTACCTGCCAAAAGATTTGTAATTAAATCCCAACTGTTTTTAGGTTAAATTAGGAAAATACATTCCAGGTGCATTCAGGGAAAAAAAAGGTGTTCAGAGTATTAGGGGCCCAATCACAGCATGGTCACTGTATTCATGCGTTGAGCACTCGCTATTGCGCATTGCAAAGCAGCGCACTACTGCACCGCAACACAGGCTATTGCAGTACCGTGCGTTGAAACACTGCGCAATGTGCGCCCCCCCCCCAGGATCTGCACTGGGGTCCCATTCAGAATGCATGCAGTGCGCTACGTTTAGGGTTGCCACCTGTCCTGGATTCACCTGGGCATTCTGGGTTTTGAGTCCTGTATGTGCTGTTTCCAGGTTTCAGGCCAGCTGAAACCCAGACACAGCACATGCAGGACTCAAAATCCGCACTGTTCAGGTGAATCCGGGACAAGTGGCAGCCCTAGCTGCGCTGTGTGATGGCATGCGCTAAACTCATGGTTCTTGTGCCTTTAGTGGAACGCTGTGGTGTGAATGGGCCCCCAGAGCCAGAGGAGTAACTAGAAACCTCCGGGCTCTGATGCAAGAAACCATGAACGGCCCCCCACCACCACCACTGTGGGAGGGAGCTGCGGAGCAATAGTCTGCTGCATGCTGAGAGCTGTAGTCCCAGGGGGCAATGTCAGCTGGGCCCTCTTCTTCCTTTCCGGGCCCCTCCAGGTGGCAGAACTCAAGGACCCGGTCGTGCATGCAGCCGCTACGACCCTGGTAGGGCTGCCACCTGTCCAGGATTCACCTGGACAGTCCGGGTTTTGCATGCTGTGTCCGTGTTTCATGGCAGCTGAAACCCAGACACATGATGTCAGGCAGACAGGGGAACCAAAATTAAGATAGGGTCTGTTGGAATCGGTAACATTGACATCTATGATACAGCTTTGATGGAAGGTTCCTTGATATCTTGAATGGAATCAGCAGGTGGCTGATATGTAAATGAGGACCATCAAAGGGTTCTTGGGGCTGGACACTGAGGAATGAAGATCTGCCAAGACGGTCATGTCCTGGGGCAAGCCCGACCCCCTGCTGGTATTTACTGCCCACACCTGTGTCAGCAAGGCATATATGCTGGGATGGGGGCAGGGGCATATGATGGAACCTTCTTCCTGTGTGACACTAATCTAGCTGACCAGCAAGACCTTTGGACAAGACAAGTCTTTCTGAACTCTGCAATCAAGAATGTGATTCGCTGAGACCTGCTGGAGAGGCGTGTCCGGAGAACAGAGAAAAACCCATGGCTTGTGTGAATGAGAGAGAGAGAGAATGGTGTAGCTAGCTGTAGGATCCTTAACCTCAATTCCTATCCCCAATTCCCCTTTCAAAGTCCCTTAATTGTATTTAGAATGCATGTATATCCCTATTTGTAAATAAACCCAACATTTATTTAAGATTCAGTTGTTCATCCGTAATTTAAGGCACCCCCAAATCAGAGCACATTCTACAGGGGCTACTGGCCCACCACTGAAAATAGTCTCGACTGTGATATTTACATATGAATAAGCCGCAACTCATTCGCCCAAAAAAATTCCGTGAGCCGCTAGAGTGTTCAGGTTTCGCTGGAAGAAAAGGTGGCAACCCTACACCCTGGTAGTTCTGCCAGTGCTCAGAGCTCATTCACACCATTAGCAGTGACTTGCATTTTTCTGCAGCTGAACAATGCCATTTCAACGCTGACAAAACTACCAGGGGCACAGCGGTTGCATGTGCGACCAGACCATGAAGTTCCACCACTTTGGAGGGCCCAGAAAGGAAGAAGAGAGCTCAGTCGACATTACCTCCTCGGACTACAGTCATAGCAGTCCAGGCGGGTGCTATGGGGCCTGGGAGTGGAAGAGGGCCCCATTAGGTTGCTGAGGCAAATTAAACATAGACACCAGTAGAAGTAGGGTCAACCGTGCTTCACAACTGCTGTACACAGTGGGGTAACTACAGTCATAGCAGTCCAGACGGGTCTATGGGCCTGGGAGTGGAAGTTGGCCCCATTTGGTTGTTGAGGCAAATTCAACATAGAACAGAAGATAATACAGTCCTGTATCATTAATGGTTGCAGTTTATGACAACTCTAAAGTCTACAGTGTAGAGACGACTTCAGATGCACAAAAGGAGCTTGTGCAGCTCAGAGAGATGTCATCAGAGGGACCCCCATCACGTTTTTGCTTTGGGGCCCATTATGATCTGTAGTTACGTGCCTGTAAATTACCACCTTTATTCATCATGTGACAGGGTGATAACGCAGGAGCACAATTTGGACAGCGACAGGGGTGTTGTCACCGCATAACAGGAACAAGACCCTTCATGGCAGGATCACCGGGTATTATTTAAAGAAAGCTGCAGATTTAAGGATATATCAAATGACTTTTGAAGTTCCATTAACGTGTTAAAGAGATTTTGAGTGATCGGGTCGACTTCAATGAACACAGCGCTGGATTAAACCGCTGCTCGGAGCTCGCCTTTTATCAGACTGAAACCCGACGCACGGTAAAGGTTTTGCGGCCCTTTTAAATGTTCACGCTCCTCAAATGTTAGGATCCCCCCCCAGCCAGGCCCACGCGTTTGCATCTGCCAGCTCTCATTGTTATTCTGATTTGCATTTGTCAGTTACCTTTTTGCGAGGGATCGACAGAAAATTGTCATATGTGCACAACGCAAATCATCCCGCCGCCTTCCAAACAAAACACGATCTGACGCAGGAGTCCGCCGCTGGAGGACGATGCCCGCTCGCTGGAGCTATCTCTTTCCTGCTTGCCGCCTGTTTGGAGTTCTGGCTGACAAATGCAAAATGTCTCCTGCTAATGCCAGCCGCGGCTCATCAATAAACGCCCACTTACTGGAGATCTGAGGAATCCTTGGAAGCGTCTCGTAATTATGTCGCCGCAGCGCTAACATGCATTAAAGGTTCATGAGAGTCACGCATTAAAATGTTTGCATTTAATCTGACTCAGAGGAGGAACCCTGCCCGCCGATTGGCTAAAATGTTCGCCGTTTCCAGCTGCCTATCCCGCCGGCTGTAGTGCTACGGTTGCTGGTGGAGCAAATCGATTCTGTAATATGCAATATGTAACATGTGGGGGTACGGGAGGTAAAAAGTGAGACTTGAATTGTCCTGAAAGGTACTGAAGGATGCCTATGCACAGGGAGAATTTTTTTAAAGGACCAATGTAGGTATGCACCGATACCGATTTTTTGTCCCGATACTTTGCTTTCAGTACTCGTCGATACCGACTACCGATAGCTGCGCTTCTGCTGACATGGAGCCGGCTTCCCGGGCAATCTGATTGCCCAAGAAGCTGGCTCCATGTTGTCTGGCCGGCTTGATTGTGCTTGGGCGGAAAAACTGCTGTTCGGGCGGCTCAATGCTGATTGGCCGAGAAGCCGACATCCCAGCCAATCAGCATGGAGCTGGCTTCCCTGACAATCAGGAAGCCGGGAGACTAGTCAGTACTCGCTGCCCAGCTTCCTGATCGCACGGGAAGCTGGCTCCATGTTCCCCTACGGCACTGCCAGTCAGAAGTGCCGTAGGGGAAGTTCCGGAAGGTATTGGAGCATTTCGGCAAGTACGAGTACTCGCCCAAATACTCGGTATCGGCACCAATACTAGTATCGGTGCATCCCTAGTCAAATGCATCAGCAAGTATTGACGTGTTCCAGTCTACTTTTGGGTTCTGGGTGCCATTGATCAGCCTGAGAAACCGGCACTTGTGGCCTTACCCACTCCGATGCCAATTATATGTAGAGAACGGCCAATAAAAGGCAGCTGAAATATGTGACGACTGAGGTTGCATCTGCACATGCACGCTGCTCTTGAACGGTTCCTTTAACTGTCCTCCTAATAATACGGGCGGGCAGCTTTTATTTGCCAAGGATGGGTATCTTGCAGCATTTAGGGATTTCCCTTTACCCTCGCTATTCACGCTCAGGCAGATGGCCGTTTGCCACCCCGGGGCCACTCCAAATGGCTGGTTTTCTGCTCCCCCCATCCCTTCAGCATACAGAGTGAGTGGTGTTTGTCATTTTCTAGCCTCGGCACTCTATAAATAACTCCATCCATTTCTTGACGGCTTGTCATGGTATCATAAATCCTTAACCGTGTCGGCCCTGGAAGGAAGGTTCCCCGAGTGGCGCGGATTGCCTTGCGCTCAAGTGGCTGGGGCATGCAGGTAATTAGCTGTGTGCCTGCTCAGCGATTCCGTCTCATCCCCGTCCTCCCACATCCTCTTCTTTATGAGATACGATTCAGGAAAGCAACAAAAACACAGAATCAGCGACTGCCAGGGAAAGCCGAGCCTGAAATGGGCAACTTATTTCTCCTTTCGCTGTTTGCCGTAGATCGGGGTAAACAGAAATGACTGTGGTAATAGCGGCTAAGTGCCGCTCTCGTGACAGCAGAGGGAACGGAGCCGGCAATTTCGCAGCGAACGTGTGAGAAAAAAAAAAAACGGATTGTGAAATATCGAAAATAGAAAGTAAAACTGTATTTTGTTTGAGAATGATAAAAAAGTAACAATTTCCAGGCGAACAAATAAAAAACGCAGCTGAGATACATGCGTGGGAGCTCTTTTACCTGGCTCTGCCAAGGCAGTGACCTGACTTTTCTCCCCTACAGTTAAGCGATAAAGCCTGGTCACCTCCCCGCCCCCAGTCTGTGATTGGACAGTCATATATGCAGAAGCGGCTCATCCTTCTGTCACTCTGTTCTCTTATCCTCCCAGTGTGTTCCTTGTCAGCATGTTTGCATGCAGGGCACCTGATTGGCCCCTGGTGCTGCCCCTTCCTCCACTTAGTACAGGGCCAGGTCAAACTCGGAACTTATACAGCATGGCTGCTGAACACAAATATTCACTGGAATCCTCCTGTTCCCCTCTCATTGCTAATCTCTATGTTCTGATAAAGTGGTCTTGGCTTAGATTCCAAGGGGTTCATTTATAAAAGTTATATGCTATGTGGATGCAATTCCCATGGCACTAGCGTCCCTAGATGGCACTGATGAGTATAGGAATTCCTATAATGTCCAGGAATTCCTATACTATCTATACTATTATTATTATTATAATACAGGATTTATATAGCGCCAACAGTTAGCTCAGCGCTTTACAATATAAGGAGGACATTACAATCACAATACAATTCAAGACAAGATGGTAAGAAGGGCCCTGCCCCTGAGGGCTTACAATCTAAAAAGAAGGGGCAAGTGATACATGAGGAGGTAGCTGTGTGGGGATGAATTGTTTGCGAACGTGATGGTTGGGTGGTTAGGTTGAGGTGGAATTCTTCATCTTTTGGCGATCACATATTTTACCTCAGAAAAAGTGGGCGTGATTACATTAAAATGTGTGACCATGTGACCGGTCACACATTCCACTGCCGAAAAACTGGGCGGGATTAGGTTAAAATGTGTGACCACGTCACCGCTCACACATTCTAACGCAGTCAAAAACTTTGATACAACACCTGCTTCATTTATAGGCTCTGTCGCCGACGTGCACCCGACAAAGAGGGTGCAGCTGTTTCACACGGCTCTGTATAGATGGAACCGGCCGGGTACAACGTCTTCAAGTTAAACAAAATATTTATGATAAATACGCAAACTTGTTGCCGTAAATCAGGACAGGTAAAACCGGAATGCTAAATATAAAACAAAAAGCGGTATGTGATGAGGTCATACCCTGAGCATTACCGTTGTATAACACAGCACTGCCCTATAAACACAATGCTGTAACTGTGACAAGGCGAACAACCCTAACCCTGAAGGAAGAACATTAAAAAGAGCCCGGACGCCATTTGAAACTTGAAGTTAAAGGAAATCTCCACTTTCGTTAAAAAGATAATATAGCAAATAAAACTGCAACAGGAGCCACTTTGTAATTTAATGTCATTAAACGTTTTATTTCCATTTCAGTCTGCAGCTGATACAATTTTGTCAAACTGTTTAAAAAGTTTGACACAATGTGGAAACCTGGAGGCGTCCTGTACAATGTTGGTGGGCGGAACAACCCCAGAAATGTAATTTCCTGCTTCTGTGATTGGCTCACAGATTTCTCCAGAAGTCTGCACGGAGACACAAGTAAAATTTTAGGCATCTCCTTCAGTAGGGGTTTCCTTTATGGTGGGATACTCCCTGAGGGTTACTTACTACTAAAGGAATGCCGACACTGCAACTTTCCTCATTAGAACACTGAAAGTGTGCCAGATGGTTATAATGATCCCAAACCTCCCATTCAGGAATCAGACCCTCCCATTCAGGAATCAGACCCTCCCATTCAGGAATCAGACCTTCCCATTCAGGAATCAGACCCTCCCATTCAGGAATCAGACCCTCCCATTTTGGAACCCAATCCTTCAATTTAGGAATCAGACCCTCCAATTCAGGAATCAGTCTAGAAAGGACACAGGTGAGGTAAACAGCTTTTTTTTCCCTACAGAACAGGAAAACTCCGGAATCTGCCTTCATTAGGAATGTCCTTTATGGTGGGACACTCTCTAAGGATGAATTATAACTAAAGGAATGCTGACACTGCAAGTTTCCTCATTAGAACACTGAAAGTGCACCAGGTGTTTATAATGAACCTGACCCGCCCATTCAGGAATCAGTCCCTCCCATTATGGAATTAGACCCTCCCATTCAGGAATCAGACTAGAGCTGCAACAACTAATCGACTAAATCGATAATAATCGATTATGAGAATAGCTGGCAACTATTCTCAAAATCGATTAGTTGGTTGACCCTCCCATTGAGGTATCAGACCCTCCCATTGAGGAACCAGACCCTTCTATTGAGGAACCCAACCCTCCCATTCAGAAATCAGACACTCCCATTCAATAATCAGACCATCCCATTCAGGAATTAGACCCTCCCATTCAGGAATCAGACGCTCCCATTCAGCAATCAGACGCTCCCATTCGGGAATCAAACCCTCCTATTCAAGGATCAGTCTGGAAAGGACACAGGTTAGATAAACAGCTTTTTTCTACAGAACAGGAAAAGGTCAGACTCGGACACAAAGTTTGGTGACATTATTACAGTGTACACTGATCACCCAGAGAGGATTTGCACTTTAAGTAGAGGGAGTTCTCAGTGGCTCAGGTCAATTACTCTAAGGGCTGGTTCAAACATTGTGCTAAAGGCAGGTTATCCATGCTTTTAGTGCACATTTTGATGCTATGTGTACTGATTGCAGTCCCCCTAGACAAAAATGAACCCATGCAGTGGGGGAGGGGGTGATATTGATCAACATTTTAAAAAAGAACACACTTTAAACCTATTAAACATTTAATTTATCTAAGAGTTTGCCTCCTACCAACCTGTGGAGTCCAGCCACCCATGACATAGAGCTTGTTGTTGAGGGTCACCACGGCGTGGCACGCCAAAGGAAGAGGCAACGGCGACACGCTCCTCCAGCTCTCATTCTCCGCCAAGTACTTGTCCACGCAGTTCGTGACAACGTATCGTTTTTTATGCTTCATTTGCCCTCCGATCAAATAGAGGTCGTTGTGAACGCTGCCCAGGGCATACAGCTCTCTGTACTCCGCACTGCACAACTTCTCCCAGCAGTAGCTGCCTCGGTTGTGATATCTGAGCAATGATAAACAGGTCATGAATGGATATATTTGTATATACAGGTATATAACATTAAGCTCAAACCTGGTAGCAGAGGAGACTTTTATCCTTTTGCATTATATCTGCGTATCTGTTGTGTATGGCCGTGGCAGGGGCTGTATGCTCCTCAGGGGCAGAGACAGTTTAATTTTCTCAGACATTTCTTTAAAAGCCTGCGGCAGGAGACTTAAAGTGACATTAAACCCTCAGATTTTTTAACATAAAACAATACTGTAATGTGTGCCTTACTGTAATCCATGGTAGTTTCCATTCTCTTTGCTGCTCTTCCTTTTAAATCTGTATCTGTTCTCATGCTGGGCAGAAGTTCTGTTTTGCAGCAGACTGCCTTGTCTCTGAAATGGATACATGGTGTCTGTGTGCAGGTTCACAACCTGAGACAGCACTACAGGAAGAGGCACTCAGCTGCAAAGGGAAGTTCTCCCCCAGCATGAGAAGACATGAGGATTTAAAAGGAAGAGCAGCAAAGAGAAGGGAAACAACCATGGATTACAGTAAGGTACACATTACAGTATTGGTTCATGTTAAAATATCTGAGGGTTTAATGTCACTTTAACTTGGGTTTAAGCTCACAGACCTGAAATCACTGTTAACCAATTACAAATATTACTTGAGCACAAAGTAGATTTAAATCCTTTGTATGGAACCAGCCCCTATTATTCAAGCCATTTTCAGATCATGGTATATATCCTTTATCTCTTCTGACCCCAGAAGGTGGTTCCACACAGTGGTATGCATACTTTCAGCTTAAACATTTCATTACTGCTCTTTTGAGATTTAAACATCTTAGGCGACATATGACCCCCTTTGAGGACTTGTGGAAAGCAAACATAAACTATCAGAGATATACCACATTCTCTCAATCCAAGCCTTCTCTGATAGACCGTTTTATGTGAGGGGATGGGAAACAGAATTGGGCTATAGACTATCCCAAGATGATTGGAAACAATCTTTTGTGTTAACATTTAAATTGAGTATTTCAAACTATATCCAGGAACGGAACTTTAAGATATTGACAAGATGGTATAGATACCCCACTTTATTACATAGGATCTTCCTAAACATATCCGATCAATGCTGGACATGTGGAGTAGAGAAGGGTACTATGCTACATGTATGGTGGTCCTGTCAAGAGATTCAACCTTTTTGGGAAATAGTCTATAAAATAGGAGCACATTTTATTAAGGTCCAGGGAATGTTTACACATGAGGTCGTGATATTGACTATTATACCAGGACCAATTGAGGAAGTTAAGAAAGGCGTATTTAGATTTTTTTTATTTGCTGCTAGAACTGTAATAGCCAGATATTGGAGGTCTCAAGATAGCCCGCAAATTAAAGATTGGGTCAAAGAAATTAATTTTTTAAGAAGGGTTGAAGAGTTAGTAGCACGATCCCGGGACAGGAACCCACAATTTATGGTGACATGGAAACCATGGATAGAGTCTGACATCACTACCTTGTGCTTACCAGGAATGTTAGGCTCCTTTGCATGGCCGTAGAAGGGGGCGGGGAGAGGAAGGAGGGAAGGAGGAGATGAGACTGTGATTTTTTTCTTTCCTTTTTTTTCTTCTTTCCGATTTGTCTTGGGTTTTTTTTGGGTGGTTTAGTAATGGGAAGGATTTTGGGTTGTCGTTTTCCTTGCTTTTTTTTTTTAATACCAATTGGAAGGGAAATTTATGGTGGCTGTTTTAGGAAGAAGTTATGAATATCTTTCTCTTCTGTTTTTGATTGGATTTCTCCTGGGGAGAGTCTTTTAACAGGATGTTTACATGCTTATATGTCTGTATTGTTATATATAGAAACAATAAAGAAATATTATACAAAAAGATTTATATCCTTTGTGGTTATTGAGAAATATATCTGAATACAAGTTTTCGTGCCCTGAGTTCAGCTTTAGAAGATGAATGATAAACATGTTGAAAATTGCCGGTCATGACGGAGACGGTGCAGCCCACATTCTAAGATAAGCGTACCTCTCCTGATATACTGTAGGTGCGATGGTGATCTTCATCTTCTTTATTAAGTTACACTCAATCTAAAGCTGGTTTAATTGGTTTGGTTTACCGCGTGCCACGGCTCTTTACTCATCGCTAAATAAATATTAGACCGAATTCTCAATTCATTTAAAAAAAAAAATGAAAACTGTAATGTTTGCGATAAGAAATGAAGAGAAATATAATTAAATTAAGAGATAATGTATTCCCTGTATTTATATAATGCCGACATATTACATAGAGTACACAGAACCATTCTCTTTATTATTTTCAACCAGGGAGAAGTTTAACTTCTTAGCTTGATATTTGAACCTGTTTTATGTCTTATTTGAATTATCTTCCATGTAATAAGTCACCTCAAACGGGAAAATTCAAGTTGGTGGATTCCAGACATAACTAGACAATCCAGATGTTTACAATATGTACAATGGGAAGAAAATTGGCCTCATGTATAAAGAACTACTTCTCTTTACAGTACTACTTCTCACCTCATACGGGTCTATAGCTGGCCATACACGTGGAAATCTGATAAAGCAATTAAAATTCCTATTCCATTTTCTGTCAAGGAATATCGCCACACCTTGATACCAATTAATTTACCGTAGGCAGCCGAGTGAATGACATTCAGCTATTCACTCCGGCTCAGTACGGCTGATTACAGCCGTACATCGGCTGAAATCAGCCGTACATCGGCTGCCTTCAGTCAGCCGAATATGCTCTGCATGTTCGGCTGAGCCGAAGTGCAGAGGGAAATTGTCTCAGCCGATCCAACATCTGGATCGGCTGAGCCGAAGCTCCTGCAGCTCACTCGCTGCTGTTCGCCCCTCTTCTTATAGGGGCCAAATGTCAGTGAGTGAATAGCGGCATTCGGCTCGGCTATTCTGCTCGCTACCTCCGTGGTACCGAGCAGAATAGAAAAGGAGTGGAAAAGGAGTATAAAAAAAAAGGTTGAAAAAATATTTTTAAAATGTAAACAAATGGTAAAATGAAAAAATAAATAAATAAATAGAAAAAAGAATAATAATTGGGCGGAGCTAGCAGTGACAGCTAGCTCCGCCCCAACTGTTTCCTATTGGCCGTCACCTGCTAGAGTCTTCTAGCAGATCCCGGTCAATGAATAACAATGGGGCGGAGCCGGCCGTGACATCACGGCCGGCTCCGCCCAGTTGTTATTGTTTAATGATAGATCAGCATCCGCAGGTCATTTGGGGACGCTGACCTGTCATTACAACAGGGTGGAGCCAGCCACTCCACCCACCTGTCATTTGCAGGGTGAACGGCCGACCTTCGGCTGGCCGTTCGACCCGCATCGACTGTCACTTCTGCTCAGTCGATGGAGAGGAGGAGGGTCGGAAACCTTTCAAATGTTTGTATTGCTGTGGGAGTCGGAACCTTTGTACTGTCAGAGTCACTTTACCTATTTCTCTATTGGTGACTATTGGGGGCAACATGTCACAGGAAATCTAACATTTTACAATTGTCACCATAACAGAAGGTGACGGGAAAGTTCATTGAGATTTCCCCTCACTTTGGAGAGATCTCCTCTTGCTTGAATTGGTGACTCTTTGGAGACAGAAAGGCAGAAGAAAATATCCCCAATGGAACAAAGAGAGCAACAACAAAAAATCGAATAGGGATTTTAACTATTCCTTTCTCTATCCAAAAACAAAAAAAGGATTTGGCTTTAGATACCCTTTATGTATTCTGATATTATTATAACTGATCAAAAACTGACTGACCTGCAAAGCTCAACACGCCTTTCCTTTTGTCTGGCCAATCTAATAACTGTCGCTTCCCCGGCCAAAATGATATCATTGTTTTCGGTGACCACTCCAGCGGAGACCAAGCCCAAAGCTTCTCCTTGTTTCGGCGAAGAAATGTAACAGATTTTCCCTGTCGTTGGAGCAAAACAGAAGCTGGCTTCCCCGTAGTTTCCATATTTTGACCTGATGCCCGTGCCATTGTTGCCCAGACAAAGAAGGAGGCTTGTAGTCTCCATTCCATAGCGAAGACTCAGTGAAACCTGGGTAGATTTTTCGATAGTTTCTAAGGCTTGTTCAACCATGTCGTAGCACTGAGCATTGCATAGGAGCACGGTGTTCCTCTTTCGGGCTTCTCGGAGAAAAGACGGGTTGACCAGAAGCATTCGAACTTGTTTCAGGAGATCTATAAGGTGCTCAGATCGCAGGTTTTTGTCGTGGTTCACCCATCGCAGAACAAGATCCAAGATGCTCTCCTCCCTAGAAACGTTGAGGTCATCGGACGCGATCATGGTCATCAGCTGATGAAAGTCAACCTCTAGAATCTCATCGTGTAGGCCTACTTCACTGAAGTGCTGGTACAAATATTTCTTGGACCTTGCCTCCAAGTCATCCGCAGCTATCTGCTTAGCAAAGTAATAAATCCCAATGCAGTTTGAGGCATCCATGTGGTCCATCATGTAGTTCTGACACATTCTGAAAATGTCATCCATCTGCATGAAGTAGGCGGCAGTGGCCACCCCTTGGACGGTAAGATTGTTTATGTAGAGTTGGGAGGTATACATGTATTCTAAGATAATGGAGACACTGCCAGCAGTGACATCATGGAGGGTGACCTCTGTCTGGTTACATTCCACCAAGCCGCAGGTGAACATCACCCTGAAATAAGGGCTGAAGGAAGCCAACACGACCCGATGGCATGGAAATCTGTGTCCCTCTGCTACCAGCACAATGTCAATGAGCTCAGAGGACTCACGCATCCTGTTGATATGTTCCAGAAGGTTACTGCCATGTTGATGCTTCCTGCTATTGTTCAAGTCTGACTCCATGATAGGGAGCTGGAGATGCTTTTCTCACCTCCACTATATTAGAACCTTTCCAAAGGTAACTTTTCAGACCCACGAATATTGGAAGACCTGGAAACAAGCTGGAAAAAAGCACATACATTATTTTTTTAACAAATATTCCATATCTTTTTCTTTTATTCCTCCCTCCCCCCCCCCCCCCTCACTGCAGATATTTATTTCACCCCAAAATTAAAGATAACAAGTCAACACATTTCAGGGGCTATAAAGTGCCTTCTATACCCAGCTTATGTAGCTTGGCTCCTAACAAGAAGCTAGTTCACTGATCTACTTACTAGACCACTTTTGTCATCTCAGCATTCTGATAAGTAAAATATGGTTATTGTGGAGACTTTATAGCCCCCAAAATATGTTGGCTTGTTAACATGGATTTTTACGGTGAAACCATCGGTGTGGTGCTCTAGGTTTCCCTACATCTCCTGGATCCCACCCTTTCGGGCCTAGAAGCTGCCTAACCATAGCTATTGTGCTCTGCAATGTAAGACCTCACTCTGCATTTAAAAGCTAGAAGAAGCTTTTGAACCAGTGCCTCCTACCCACAATTACCCAATTTAAAGAGGATCTGTCACTTTGCCTATTTGGAGAACCTTCAGTGTGGTGCTCCTGTTTTTCAACATCTCCTGGATCCCATCCGAGGTCCATGTAAGGCCCCATTCACACCTAGGCGTATTGTAATATGCGCGTCTGTCGCGCGGTTTTTTTACCGCTGTTCGCGGTAGAAAAGCCGCGCGACCGTCGCGCGATTCCGAAGGCTACTTGGCTGTATCCCAATGGAAAACGCCCTACAAAACAGCCCAAAGTAGTACCTGGACCTTTTCAGGCGTGGGCCGTTTTGTAGCGCATTAGGGACGGGCGGAAATACGGCAAGGTGGGAACGAGGCCATTGAATACAATGCAATTTATATTTTTGACCGTTTTGTAGAGCGTTCGCAGAGCGTAGAACGCGCTACAAAACGGTCAGGTGTGAACGAGGGCTAAGGGTCTTTCAGGCCTTAGAGCTGCCAAACCTAAGACCTCACTCTGCATGTTGAAGCCAGAAGATGCTTTTGATCCAATGCCTTCTACGCACAATTATCCAAGAGGTTCTACCACTTTGCCAATTCAGAGAGCCATCTGTGTGGTGCTCCTGTTTTCCTACAGAGGCTGTAAAGGCATTTAAGTACTGAGAGCCGCCTATGGCTATTGCACTCTGCAATGTAAGGCCTCACTTTGAATGTCAAAACCAGAAGGTGAATTTTAACCAATACCCCCTACCCACAATTATGCAATTTAAAGAGGATCTGTCACTTTGCCTATTCAAAGAATTATCGGTGTGGTGCTCCAGGTTTCCTATATCTCCTGGATCTCCTCTGATGTGGCTGTAAGGCCCTTTTGGGACTGAGAGACGCCTAACAAAAGCCATTGTACTCTGAAATGTAAGGCCTCACTCTGCATATCGAATCCAGAAGAAGCTTTTGATCCACAAACTATCCTACCCACAATATTTCAGTGTGAAACGGATCTGTTACTTTACCTATTTGAAAAACCATCGGTATGGTGGTCATGATTTTCTACATCTCCTGGATGCAACCTGAGGACCCTTTTGGATCTGAGTCACCTAGCCAAAGCCACTGTACTTTGCAATGTAAGGCCTAGCCCTTTATGTTGAAACCAGAAGAAGCTTTTGATCCATTGCCTCCTACCCACAATTATCCAATGTAAAGAGGACTTTGCCTATTTGGAGCAAAGTATCAGATCCCATTTAAAGTGGGCCTACCATCAGATTTACTGATGCCAAGTACATGTACAAGTAAAGTGTCTACTTCCTGGACAGAGATGCCAGCTCAGAGATGAAACAATCATGTAAATTCTAGTGTGTGTGGAGTTCTTGGCTGTGATCAAAATAGTCTGACACACATCAGCCCCTGCTATGGCCTCTGACCTTGTGACTTGCTACAAAGTTACAATGTTGCAGTCTGATCACTGGGGGAGGGGAGACTGAGGAAAGCTTCCTCCTGCCTACAGCAGACTGATGACTTCATTTAGCCTTGGCATAGTCACTGGACTGGACCTCAAGGATGGCTTTTGATTGACAAATGGTGAAGCTTCTCTGAAAATTGATACTGTTGCTGCGTATTCTGGAATGTCAGGATTCTTTTCTTTTTTTTTTTTACAAAATTGTGAAGTTAATGAAATATCCACTTTAAGGGCTACAGATCCAGTTTTCAGTTTCAACCAGATTTTAGCTCCTGCAGGTTACAAGTAAGAACTACTTTTCCCCATTTTCAGTAAAAGCTGCCAGAACGTTAATATGGAAACAGGCTAATAACCAGTTTTCTTCTTTTTTTTTTTTACACAATTTTCAACTCTTAACTAAGTCCCAGGAGTCTTGATTATTTTCTCCTCTTGTTTCTGCTTTTCTAAAGTGCATCCGGGCGGATCCTGCAGAAAATGTTTTTCTCTCTTCTTTCATGTCATCAGCGCTTATAATGCCGATTGTACGTCTCATAAGTTCGGTTTAATGAACCCTCTGGGCCTTCCTGCCCTCCCCTGGATAAAAGTTTCTGCAGCAATGCGGAGTGATGGGCAAGATTTAATCACAAAGGGCGTAGGGGCTTCTTCTCAGTCAGAGTGGTTTAATTGTGGAACTAAGAGACCATAACATACAGGGGTACAGGTACTCTTCCTCTACACCAGCTATATGCAGTTTTTATTGTGAGTGCAATACTTTTATTTTATAATTAAAGAAGCTTCTACACTATGTTGATGCATTTTGCTTTTTCCGTTATCCATTAGATCACCCTTGCAGCACTGAGACCCCAGGTTCAAATCTAGGTTTTGCCTGGATGTTATCTGCATGGGTTCCCTCAACAAGCCAAATAAAATAAGGAAAAAGTTATCACAGTTTCTATATGTTGAGGCACGGCGACCCCTCTTGCCCTGCCGGCCTAGGCACTGGCCCGCGGGTGCTTGATTTAATTCTTGCCCTGATTATTCTTCTTTGTACAGCAGTCACGCCGACATTTACCGTGCCCGGGGGGCGTAAGGAAGGACTGCTCAGTTGGCACATCTCTAACAATCTCTCATGAATTGGCGAGCTCTCAGCACTTTTCGGGCTGGGAAGTCATTTCACTTTGTCTCTTTGTAATTGAAATAACAGAGATTAGTTAATAAAATATGATAGGGCTGTGCCCCCGGTGCAATGCTTAAATCACCATAACTACATCTCTAATTATGTTCCGGAGCTCAAGTCGAGTTCTAATTGCAGGCCAATTAAATACAGTCTCTTCAAGCGAAGTCTCACTAAGTGATGTCTGCAATGAAAAGCCTGTTGGGGACATTTCATCTCATTTACAGGACTTCATTGGGAGTCATACTTTTTTTTTGTATTATGTTAGAGAAGGTGAAGAACAAAAAGTTTTGGCTGGAGTTGGGAGGAATTTATGACAAATCCTCCCTGAGAGGCACAGTGAACAAGTTGGGATTGAAACTTTTGTAGTAAGCTTTGCAATGATTCTTTTTTATATCACCCATTAGGGATGAGCTCAGGTTCAGATTAAACCAAGTGCAAACCTGCGCTGCTTCAAACTTGGACCGGTCCTGAAATCTTCCAAACCCAGTCCGATCCTGAGCTCCTCTAAACCTGGTCCAATTCTGAGAGCCTCCAAACACAGTCCAATCCTAAACTCGTCTGAACCTGAGCTCCTCCAAACGCAGTCCAAACTTGAGCTCCTTTCAAACGAGTCCAAACCTGAGCTTTTTCAAACCCAGTCTGAACCCGAGCTCCTTTAAACTTAGTCTGAACCTAAACTCCTTCTAACCCAGTCTGAACCTGAACTCCTGCAAACCTGGTCTGAACCTGAGCTCCGAACTTGAGCTCTTCTAAACCTGGTCCGAATCTCAGCTGCTCCAAATCCTAGTCTGAACCTGAGTTCTTCCAAACCTGTGCTGATTCTGAGCTCCTACAAACCAAGTCCGAACCTGTGCTCGTCCAAACCCAGTCTGAACCTGAACTCCTCCAAACCCTGCCTGAATCTGAGCTCCTCTGAACCCGGTCCAAACCTGAGCTTCTCTCAACCTGGTCTAAACTTGACCTCCTCTGAACCTGAGCTCCTCCAAAGCCCATTCAAACCTGAGCTTCTCCAAGTCCGTTTGAACCTGAGCTCTTCCAAACCTCATCCGAGCCTGAACTCCTCCAAACCTAGTCCAAACCTGAGCTCCTCTAAACTTAGTCTGAACCTGAGTTCCTGCAAACCTGGTCTAAACCTGAGCTCCTCCAAACTTGAGCTCCCCTGAACCCATTTGTAACCTGAGCTCCCCCAAAGCCTTGTCTGAACCTGAGTTCTTCCAAACCCGGGCTGATTCTGAGCTCTTACAAACCCAGTCCGAACTTGAGCTCCTCCAAACCAGGTCTGAACCTGAGCTCCTCCAAACCCCATCTGAATCTGAGCTTCTCTGAACCCGATCCAAACCTAAGCTCCTCTTAACATGGTCCAAACATGAGCTTTTCTGAACCTGATCTGAAGCTGGGCTCCTCCAAAACCAATCCAAACCTGAGCTTCTCCAAGCCCGTTTGAACCTGAGCTCTTCCAAACCCCATCTGAATCTGAACTCCTCCAAACCCAATCTGAACCTGAGCTCTCCCACACCATTTCTTAAACTGAGCTCCTCCAAACCTAGTCCCAACCTGGGCTTCTCCAAACCTGGTATGAATGTGAGCTCTTCCAAACTTGAGCTCCTCCAAACCTAGTCTGAACCTACGCTCCTCTGAACCCAGTCTGAACCTGAGCTCTTCCAAACGTGAGCTCCTTCGTACTCAGTCTAAACCTTAGCTTTTCCAAACCTGAGGTCCTCCAAACTCTGTCCGAACCTGAGCTCCTATGACCACAGTATAAACCTGAGCTTTTCAGAACCTGGTCCGAACCTTAGCTCCTCCAAACCCGCAAGTGCAATGGGGCCATGGGGGTGGTGAGGTGGATGCAGCA